GTGCTTCTGGGAGAGCTTCGTGACTCAGTTGAAAACATTTTGACTCTCTTCAAGTTTGCAGTTTCATCTGTGGTTCTTGGAAGCTGTCCTAGTGAGTCAGCATTGGGTTAAGCCTGAGGAGACCAAGCTCCAACACCTTTGTGCACTCATGTATATGAATTCTTGCTTGCAGTGAATGAGCCCTGAACAACCCTAGTGTGTGTCATGTCCTGTGTGTGGCCCAGGCGTGTTTTCCTGTAGATTCACATGAGAAAACCTCACCTATCCATGTGCTCTAAGAGGTGGACTGAGGTCTAATCCCTCTCTGGCGAGGTAAATCGCCAGATTTTCTGTGGGTTGGTCTTAACACCTAGGAGATGAATAGAGCGTGGAGACACCTGACCAATTTAGTGATTCTGCAAGGCAGTGATGATTTAAGGGTTCCCATTGTCTCATCTGTGTTCAAAACAAAGCGATCATGAAGTCTTTGTGCCACTGCCTGACTGTCATCTTCTCCAGATCTTGTTTACAGAGAAATAATGACGTTAAACAGGTATCAGAAAGGGGAAAAAAGTTTCTAGGCCAAGAGCTACTGGTGGATTCTCTTGAGCAGAATAACAAGTTGCTTCCTGCTCCAGGGACTGCCATTAGCTTGTGAGGTCTCTAGGTGCCTTGTTAGTTCCCAGTGAAGTTGCAGAATCCAGGGTTTTTTCCAGGTTTGTCTTATTTTATCAGCACCCATGTCCAGGCCCAACAGCTTGGTAGGCTGGTGAGGTCCACACACAGTCCGGTCTGGGAGATGAGGGAGGAAGCGGTGGCCTGGAACACCCCGCCTGTCTTCCATCAGCACTAGACAGCTCAGGCTATCTTGGAAACGTGTACTTGGTTAACTGCCTTCCTGTCCTCTTGTCTTTGAAAGCTGTCTCATGTTCCACAGTCAGCTTGAGGGCAAGAGTGGGATGCTGGGGACAGGTCTTCCCCGTGCTATGGGTGAGCTCCTGGCATCTGGCTCAGGAACATGTGGGTCCAGCAGGTGACTCTGAAGCTGGCTTGGCTGCCATCTCAGACAGGACGCAGGCCTGACACCCTCAGCTTTCAGCTTTGTAAACTTCCCTGGCGCTTTATAGAATCTTGTGTTTCTTCTCTTCTCAGCAGATGTCATTCAAATCACAAGAACTGTCTGGTCGAGAAAGTAATTTAAAATATTTGACCTTTTATGTTTCTTTTATTTAGAAACTGTGAGAGAAAATACCTTCAATATCTATTACGTCTAGAAGAATGTTCTTCTGAAAGTGAATGTTCTGTTTAATTCTTCTTCATGTGAGTGAGTAGCATTTGTACACTCTTCAGCTTGAAGCGGAATAGGTCCTGTTATATTTTCTCTTCTTTTGTCTGGGATATATTCTTTTTCCATTTGAATACAGTTTTTCAACCTTTGGGATTTTTTTTTTTTCCTTTCTAGTTTTTCCTATTCACAAACATAACAGTAAGGGGAAAAAATCACCCACAAGCCCGCTGAGTTTGAATCACTGGCAGCGTGCCTAGAAAAGTTTAGATGATGGGTCCTTGAATGGTGTATCTATTTCATAGGGTAAGTTTGTTGTCTATGTTTTTTATGCTGAGGCTTTAATTCAGGTGACTGCTATCTAGACACCTGGGGTGGCGTGTTTTCTTTGGGATGCATAATACAGAAAGGCCAGGGAGCCTTTGGCTTGGACTCCAGGGAGCTATCGAAACTTTTGAAGTTTGAGTTTAGGAGTAAGAACATATCTCAGACCACCTTAGTCAGCTTTGCTAATGGGATTTAGGGCCAGGCCAGAGTTTCTTTTCCTAACTGTTCCTGAAAAGAGAGATGGTGTGAAACAAAATTTTGATAATGGTTTGTGTGAGATTTGATCATAGTCTAAAACTATCATGTCTTGAGTTGCCTTAGGATGACAGTGCAGACACCCAGTAGGAAGTACCCCATTTTTATCAGGAAAGTCAGTCACGCGAAGGGATGGTGAGGAGACGAGGGGAGAGGAGGGAGACTTGGTGCCCTTGCACCAGGGTGAGGCCTGACTCACGCTGCTTCCCCCCACAGGCCCTGCTTTGCTTGCCTGCTTTTTCCAGAGTCGATTTTGCAAGTTTCAAGACTCTGTTCCCCTCTTTGCAGAAGTGAGGAAGGCAAATACTCAGGGTTTGAAGGGAGACCTGGCTGGCCCGAGGGCTGGCAGATGCGAAGGCAGGACACCTGGGATGGACTTGTAGGCTGGCCCAGGCCCAAAGGGGGCTGCCTGCTCCCAACTCTTTCACTCTGTAACCCATTTTAAAATGAGTTTTTGAATCTTGCCTCAAATTGACCTACTTGGATAAAATCAGTGCTTTTCCTAACTTGATTTTGTTTGACATGGTTCCCTCTAAGAGAATGCTAGGAATTGAAACTATTTGTATATGTTGAAATTTGTAGGGGTTCAGGAACCCATGGCAGAAACATATTTATTTACAAGTATGACTATTTTTTTTTTCAAAGTAGGCAATTCTGTCTTTGTATATTTTAAGGCAAATAATCACTTCACCTCTGGTGCCTTCCATGCGTCGCATAAGCACTCTTGTCAATCATGGAATTGGAAAAAAAGATGTACATTTAGTTAAGCCAGATAACACTATTTTTGTAGCATGATTTTAGATTGTGTCCTTTTAATATTGTTTTCAACAATGGTAGTTTTGAGGTTTTGGCCATTTTCTCTTTACACTTCGTATGTATTTTAAAGAAGAAAAAAACAACAAAAAAATTCCCTGGCTATTCCTCTTTCCTCTCTGCTGCTGCTTCTCTCACATCTTGTTCCTGCTTATTTAAATAGTCGGAGAGTAAGAGTATATTTCTGTGAAATAATTATAAGTCAGTATAATTGCATTGGCATTTTTTAACCACTTGCTCAGTTTGGAGCCACTGCTCACCTCAAACAGTACAAAGAAAGTGGTTCCATATTTTACAAACAAAAGAGTAGCATCAGAGCCCTGACCTGTCTTTGGGTGTAAAATGGTGAAAGGCCGGCGTCTGGCTCCTTCCCCTGTGGTTTGGGCTGGTGAACTGAGCCCAAGCGTATTCTCTGGCCTGGGCCCCTTCCAGGATCAGTGCAGGCATCCTGCAGAGGCGCGGCCTTCTGCCACTGCAGAGTGGGAAGCTTCCCCAGGGACCTCAGCCGGCTCCGGAGCTCTCACCTTTCACTCGGATCTCGTATTGGTTCGTTGTGGATGCTCTGGCTAGGCTTCGTGGCATATTCCAGGCTTCAGGCCTGAACAAAACAGGCTGCTTGCTGTGAGGAGCTAGATGACACCAAGACACAGACATATACTCTTTAGCAGCTCCTTTCGCCTCTCCTTCCTGCAGGGCGTGAGTTATGGCTGGTCCCAAAACCCCTGAATAAACTAGCTGAGCCATTGCAAATGAAGGTACAGATGGATTGAAACATAAAATCGTAGCTTTTGATATCCTTCTGAAGGGTCAGAATATGTAATTATTTGATAACCAAGGAAGTCAAGCCAGATGGCTAAGTAGTAACTTTCCAATATGATTTATCCGTGGTACTTCACCTGGTGGCACTTTTGGGGGGCAATATTAACAACTATCACATTTTACTTGTTAAGTCTCTTTCATTCTGGCAGTTTAAAGACACAACTGTGGGCTTTCTGAGGCAATGCCCATTGGGCAAACTTAGGTTTATGTGTTTGGTTTTTCAGCTGACACGGAAGCCCTGGGTGGGTGCCCCCTGGCTGGCCTGGCTCTCGGGTTCAAGTCTGTATGTCTGGAGTGGGTTGGGGCCCCAAAGCTTTGCTGCTATTGATTTGTCCCCGACAGCAGGCAAAGCCTCACATTGCCCTCAATTTTCCCCCTTTCATTTGAAGGACCAATTTTTCACGGTACTTGTCTTGATCTTTTTCATAGTGTTCAAATCTGTATTTTTGTATGTAGAGGAAAATAATTTTCTCAACACTAATCGTTAATAACTATTGTATTAAATCGTCATGAAGGAACTCTTGTTTAATAAATGGACGTGTAAGGATGTCGTTGTTTCTCCTCACTCTGGCTGGCCTCCTCTGCCCCTTAAAGGTTATGGATCCAGTTCCTGAAACAGGGCTGCTGTGTGGAGGTTGAACAGAGCCATGATCCTCGGTGGAACAAGGCCTCTGGGACACCAGCTTTGCCACTTTGCCAGGGCTGACAAGGTGGAACGTAAGTTCCACCAGGGGCCTCTCCGCTCCTGCACACCCAGCTTTCATATGCATTTTCAGCACATGTGGTGTGTGACAGTTTGGGTGGAATGTCTTGTCTTTTCCCATCAGCCTGGACAAGAACGCTGACCTGGGTCCTCCAGGGCTGCAGTTCTCTGGGCTGTTAGAGAGCCCCAGGGTTCCCACTGCCTGAGGCTGCTGTGAGACACTATCCTGATGTGTAAGTGAGAGGGCCCTGGGCCAGTTACCCAACCTTTGTCTCAGTTTCTTTGTTTGTAAAACAGGATAGTGTGAGAACTAGAGCCAGGGTCCCCAACCCCTGGGCAGTGGACTGGTACTGTGGGGCCTGTTAGGAGCCAGGCCGCACAGCAGGAGGTGAGTGGCAAGCAACTGAGCTCCACCTCCTGTCAGCCCGGCAGTGGGATTAGGTTCTCATAGGAACACGAATCCTGTTGTAAACTGTGCATGCTGTGGATCTAGGTTGTGTGCTCCTTATGAGCATCTAATGCTTGATGATGTGAGATGGAACAGTTTCATCCTGAAACCATCCCTCCCACCCTCACCCCAACCTACCCCCCTAATCCCCAGTCCATGGAAAAACTGTCTTCCACGAAACTGGTCCCTGGTGCCAAAAAAGTTAGGGACCACTGAAATAAAGGATTAAATGGTAGTCAGATTTCATGTGGATTTTTGCTAACACTGAAAACTGACAGGATCCACACTGGCCTTACCAGCTTGTACTGAAGCCTGACATGATACCCAACAGTATTGCTCCAGTTTTTTCAAACACACACTCCAAGCAAGTGGTCAGTCTGGCTTAATTCATTATGGCTTTTTTTCAGGGTAAGAGATTCACATGCAAGAGAATAAGGCTACAGATGCTCCAAACATGGGTCCAGAACTCTGGCTCTTTTGTGAGGCCTAGAGTCACAGAAAATGCCATCTGTTAAGAAGCTGCTTTTGTATAAAAAAAAATACAAAAAGTTACAAAATTCCATCAAAGACAGATACACAGTATAAGTCATTAGGTGAACACAGAAGGCTGGTCTCATCTCCCGCAGTGGCCCATAGACCTGCCCTGGGGTCTGGAAGTTCACTGTCCTGAGGGTCCAGGAACTCCTGCCTGCTGCCTGGGCTCTAGGAAGAAGAAGGGTTTGGCTGGGCCCGCCCAGCTCCCCGTGACACTGTCACTGTGATGTCACTGTTGTACCCTCTGTCTTCTGGTCCAGTCAGTCTATGAGCTCTTCTTTGAAACAGTCTTAGACCCAGAATGGTCATCTCACCCCCAGAAAACATGGTTTCCAAGGGTGGGAGGTGTCAGTTATGGGTGCGGAGCCCCACTCTCCTGAGCGACAAGGCAAAGGTCAGTTTCTCCCTGCTTCAGGAATGAAGAGGGAACTGGTGCTCCTTGAACCAAAGATTCTTGGAAGGGTCATTGTCACCAAAGTGCCTGGTGTGGGCAGGAGCACCAAGTGCAGACAAACCCAGCGGGGCCTGGCGGGGCAGCCCTGTCACGGTTTCTGTCTTTGTTCCTGTTAGTGAAACAGAAGACCCCCGACCCCCACCACCTAGCAGCATGGAACACCTGCTGCCCAGGTGGAGACAAGGCTCTGCTTTGTCTCCTTGTGCTGGTTTTTGGCAGAGAGGTTAAAGGGCTGAAGGCTTGTGGGACGGAAATGGGGAGAAGGGGTGGGACATCCAAGATGCCCTCACACGCAGCATGGTCAACAGTGCTGAGCTGAGGGGCAAGCCTGGTAGGCTGGGCTCAGGCAGAACCTGAAGCTGTGGGGGGCCTGCTGTGTCTGCAGCCCCCTCTGCAACTCAGAAGTCCAGGCTTCCCCTCCAACGCCAGTGTCCCCTGTGAGGCGCAGGAGTGGAGGCCTGTGTGGCTCAGGTTGCCAGGGCACCCGCCAGGCCTTCAGTCAGAGTCCGAGTCGGAATTCTCTTCTGAAAGGAAAGCAGAGAGGATGCTTGGCAGGAGGCTCAGGGCAGTGGTGCCCGGGAATGGTCTCTGGGGAAGCACAGCTGGGTTGCTGGCAGGAGCCTGGGTGCAGGCTGCTCACCGCTGACGCTACCATTCCCAGTGATCGCTGGCATCAGGGCAGGCCCCAGGCCTGAGGCCTTCCAGAGGCAGCAGCCACTTTCTGTTTTTTTTTTTGTTTTTTTTTTTGAGATGGAGTCTTGCTCATCACCCAGGCTGGAGTGCAATGGCACGATCTCGGCTCACTGCAACTTCCACCTTCCCGGGTTCAAGCGATTCTCCTGCTTCAGCCTCCAGTAGCTAGGATTATAAGCATGTGCCACCACGCCCAGCTAATTTTTGTATTTTTAGTAGAGATGGGGTTTCACCATATTGGTCAGGCTGGTCTTGAACTCCTGAACTCAGGTGATCTATCTGCCTCGGCCTCCCAAAGTGCTGGGTTAACAGGTGTGAGCCACCGCGCCCGGCCACAGCAGCCACTTGCACCTCCAGGGTGTGGGTACGGGTGCAGGTGGGGGTGTTTCCACCCCAAGACTGAAGCCCAGGTACTCCTTCCTCAGGCCCAGCCCCTCCCAAGTCTCCCTGGGCTATTCTCTGCTGGGCGGGTCAGGGTTGTACCTCTGCATCCCAGCTCTATCCACACCCCCAGGTTCAGCAGGACAAGGTAAGGATGATGATTTTCTTGTCCCCCAAACTAAATATCCTGGAAAATCAGCAAGCCTCTTTTTAGCCATTTTATATATTCAATCCCCTTTCCCAATCCTTGTTTAATATTGTAATCAGAAACAATTTTATAATGGTAAGGGCCTGCCTATGAGGTGTGCCTTGAGGGTTCCTGAAATCCCAATACTGAAGGGAGCTCTGTAGAGCCTTCTGGAACCTCCACCCCAGAAGGAAAAGCACCAGAGTCACTAACCCCCTACTCCACCCCAGTGCTGGTTGCTACTTCCTGATGTTCATCCCCTCCCTGGCCAGCCTCTGTCTCTCAGAACCCCAGTCAGTCCCCACGCTGTCGCTGGCTCATGGCCGGGCCCAGGGCTTGGGTGTGGGCAGCCTAGTCCCTAAACCCCAGCTCTGCCCCTTACTCCTCTTCCTGGGCTGCACTCCTCAGATTTTGTGGGGTTTGCTATATTCAATTTTTTGTTTTCCCCCCGAGACGGAGTCTCGCTCTGTTGCCCAGGCTGGAGTGCAATGTTGTGATCTCAAGTCACTGCAACCTCCGCCTCCCAAAATCAGGCGATTGTCCTGCCTCAACCTCCCAAGTAGCTGGGATTACAGGTGGGCACCACCATGCTCGGCTAATTTTTGTATTTTTAGTAGAGATGGGGTTTCACCATGTTGGCCAGGCTAGTCTCAAACTCCTGACCTCAAGTGATCCAGCCACCTCGGCCTCCCAAAGTGTTGAGATGACAGGCGTGAGCCACTGTGCTTGGCCGCTACATTCAATTCTAACATATAAGTCAGGAATAATTTTACAGCAAAATAATTGTTACATATGTGAAACTCTTCAAATAGTAAAAAAAGAAAAAAAAAAAAAAACCTCCCAAGTTTCCACTGACGTTTACTAATTGTTCCCTGAGCTGGCTGGCTGGGATCACTTGCTGTGGGCAACTGGGAGCAGGCTGCAGAGCCAGAGGAAACCGCCTGGGAGCTCTAACCTAGTATTTGCCAAGGGACGGAATGGGATGAGTGGCATTCATTTTGAGCAAAAGGACAGTTTCTGGGATTCACAAATCCCCATGGCCCCAGCACCTGGCTATTAAGAAACTAGTATCTCTTAAGCCTGGTTCTGCCTGGGGAAGATCCCAACCACAGGGTGGGGCCTGCAGGCCCTTCCAGAGCTGCCCTTGTCTACCTGCCCAGCCACAGGCACTGCCAGCACAGGGGCACATCCGCCTGGTCCAGAGAAGCATCTCCCGGGCAGAAGCACCTGCTGTCTCTGCTTTCAGTTTTCTTCCTGCACCAGCCTGGTCTCTTCTGCCTGCACCCTCCTCTACCGCCATCCATCAAGACCCAGCTCTAGCGTCCCCTCTGGAGTCTCGGGCTGGCTGGCACTCAGTGTGGGCCTGCTTTCAGCTACTGTATCCCTACTTCTATCAGCTCCTGTTTTACTGTTGTCATTGCTGTCCCATCTGGCCCCTCCCCTGGTATGGGACACATCATGTGTCCCTTGCCATGGTTTCTGGGTCTGACTGCTCTCTGGCCTCTGAGCTCCCCAGGACAGGCCTGGATGGGTAAGACAACAGAGGGGCTGGGTTGGGGGGGGTGGCCACTCTGGATCCCAGGTGGACAGGTGCCCTGAGAGTGACTGGCTGCCCAGGGGGCTCGTCCAGGGAGACTTGGCTCAGGCATGCCCACTGCTTGCCCTTCCTAAAAAGGCTGGGGTGAGGGGCACAAGGGGAATGAAACTGGCTTTGGATCAGTGCTGCATGAGACTAGGTGAGAATGGGCTGTAAAAACACTGCCATGGGGAGAGAGGAAATGATCCCACCCCAGCCTCAAACTAGCCGGCCATCCCCAAGGGAGGACAGGCCCCTGTTGCAGCACTGCTAGGGTGTTCAGGCCGGCCGCTCACCTTCTGTCTTGTGGGCTGTGGTCTCATCTGCAGAGTCCCCTTGTTTGAGGAATTTGGCCACGTCGTTAAAGATCAGGTAGAAATCAATTGCAAACACGATGGTAGCAAAGAAGCCAAATACCTGTGGACAGTGTGGATGGGACGTATCATAGGGCTGACTCCCTGCTCCGGGAGGGCTGCCCCAGCCTTGTGGCCCATTTCAGACCTGCTTGGACAGACAGCCCGAGTGACAGGCACAGACCCCTCGGAGTAACAGAAGTGGGAAAATGAGCTGTGAACTTGGTTTGACAAACAGCCTTTCAAAACTCCGGGTAGAGTCAATCTCTAATGAGAGGACTTTGGAATCATCATCGGGACCCACATGAGACCCCAGGGGGGCCCCAGCAGGGAAAGGCTCTGCCCCAGGTCCCACCCTAAGTGAGCAGCTAGAGTGGCATCTGCAGTTTCCGGAGGGGTGGGGCGGCTGCTCACCCCAGCGGCTTTGGAAGCCCCATCCGAGTACTTGGCGACAGCCGTGATGGAGATGGCAAAGTAGATGAGGGCTGCGGTGACACAGCGCAGGAAGTCCTGGGGAGAGAGGGACACCATCATGCTGCCTTGAGCCCCCTGGAGCTGAGCACAGCATGGGGAGGAGGCCTGGCAGCCTGGTCTTGTTCCCAGCCCCAGGCCTAGCACCTGAGGGCTCCTACCCCATCCTGGCCCTACCCACATGCCTAGGCCCTTGTCCCACTCCCCAGGTGCCTCTGCTGCCCTGCCAGCAGCTGACACTGCCCTATCCCAGGTCCAGCGGGACTGCTGTCCTAAGCTCTGGACAAAAATCTGTGGATCAGGCTGCAGCCTGCCCTGCGACGCGGTGGCAGCAGAAGTTGGAAACACCTCCACCTGCTCCCTTGCTGTTCTCCAACGGGGAGATCTGTTTCTGCGCCTCGGCTTTGCCACACTCTTGTGGCCGATCCATTTATGGATCACGGTTTCTGCTGACCTGTCCTTAAGATGGGGACACTTGGGAGGTGCAGCCCTCCTGAGGCAGCAGATGCTGGATATGAAGTCAAGAGACAAGGGTTAAAGTCCAGCCTTTGCTGCCCTTTCTCTAGGACACATTTCATTTAGCGAAGTCCACTGGGGTCTGGGCCCTCACAGGTGACAAAACGAGGTCAGGGTTGCTGATGGCTGAGGTCTGGGTAAGCCCTGCAAGTCCTCAGTTAACCTGTCCTGCCTGCGTGGAAATGGCTTGAATTCCTGTGGTGGCAGCTCATTCCTGCAAGCCCCGTGGGGAGCACCAGCGCCACCTGGTGGCCAGAGACCCCTCTCCGGGTTCCCTGCCTCAAAGACGTGCTCTAGAAGCACCGGAGCCCACTTCAGATCACAGAGCTGCTGAGGAGTGGAGCTGGGATGATCTGAAGCTTGGTCTCTCCATCCAGTTCTAACCAACTGCAAACTCCAGCACACTGGAGAAAGGGTAAGGGCCCAAGTGCATGACTCCAGACTCCTCATTTGGTTGCTTTGTGCAGGGTACCCCTCCCTCCTGGGGCCCCTGTCCTCACCATCATGGGCCAGCACAAGCCCTGCCACTTGTCATTCAGCTGCATGGCATCAGCAAAGAGGAAGAACAAGGCCAGCAGGAACTCCAGTAGAGGTGCTGTGAGGAAGGCAGATGCTGAGGATGCCACATAGCAGATAAAAGTGATGAACGAGAGACCCTGCAGGGAAGGAGTTTGAGGTAAAGTCAGAGCCTTTTCATGCTCTTTGCCCAGTGCTCCTCTGAGCCAGGCCCTGTGGTCAGGATAGAGGAGGCTCCAGCAGGGGAAGCCAACTGCTCACAGTCCCACAGCTGGGAAGTGACAGAGCCAGATTAGAATCCCAGGCCAAGCGCAGTGGCTCACGCCTGTAATCCCAGCACTTTGGGAGGCCAAGGCAGGTGGATTGCTTGAGCCCAGAAATTTGACCCCCGCTTGGGTAACAGGGCAAAACCTCATCTCTGCAAAATATACAAAAATTAGCTGGGCGTGGTGGTGTGTGCCTGTAATCCCAGCTACTGGAGAGGCTGAGGTGGGAGCATCACCTGAGCCCGGGGAGGTTGAGGCTGCAGTGAGGTGTGATCAGGCCACTGCACTCCATCCTGGGTGAGAGAGTGAGAGACCCTGTCCGCTCCCCCTGCTGAAAAAAAAGAACCCCAGCATGGCCCAGGCCCACACCTATGCTGCCTCCCAGTCCTGGGCATGACCGTAAGTCCTCACCTCACCCCACCCCAGCTCCCTGCCAGGACCGAGTCAGAAAGCCCCAGCCTCCCAAGCACATCCACTCCACTCTGCCCTGTGGAGGGAAATCAAAGTTAGGAACCAGTTTCCAAAAAGTAACACCCAACGCTGAAGACGTGCGCTTGTCACTGAATGTAAATTTCACCTTGAAAACAAAAAACAAATCTTGAATCTTAGTTAATGATATGCATGCTGAAGTGTTCAGAGTTGAAATGTCCTGATGTCTGCAATTTATTTTGTGTTAAAAGATAAAATGGATTGATAGATAAAGCAAAAAAACCTTTTAGCATTTTAATGTATTTGCAAATTTTCATAATAATAAGAAAGGAACATCCAAGAGAGGGTGCGTTGGCACTGACCTCAGGCCCTGCTGCCGTATTTACACAGGGCCAGCTGTACTTGAACTATAAGAATCAATAAATGTTCACTGCGGTCTTGCCCACAACTCTGTAGGTGGGAAGAGCTGATGCAGGAGGACGTCCAGCCCTGGTAAGTCCTGCAGCTTAGGTGCGCTGCAGAGCAGGCCAAGGTGACCTGTTGGCCAGCCTGGGGCTCCACAGTGCACCGTGGTGCCCTGAGGCTCACGGGCATCTCCTCTGACCCTCACATCCACCCATGAGCACAGCCCCACTTTACAGATGAGAAGACTGTTACATGGCTAATCAGAGGCTACTAGAATTTGAACCCAGGACTGGCCAACCCCCCAGATAGAGTTCTCTTACCCACCTCCCGCTGCCCTCAAGATGGAGTCTTGCTCTGTCTCCCAGGCTGGAGTGCAGTGGCACAATCTCAGTTCACTGCAACCTCCACCTCCCGGGTTTAAGCGATTCTTCTGCCTCAGCCTTCCGGAGTAGTTGGGATTACAGGCGACCGCCACCACACCCAGCTAATTTTTGTATTTTTAGTAGAGACAGGGTTTCACCATGCTGGCCAGGCTGGTCTCGAATTCCTGACCTCAGGTGATCCACCCACCTCGGCCTCCTAAAGTGTCGGGATTACAGGTGTGAGCCACCGCACCCGTCCCAGACAGAGTTCTTAAGCAACTTGGCCCTGTGGGTGTTGGGGAGGCCATCTGTCCTGGTTTCTGTCACTGTGGCTGCGTTTGAACACGTCCATGGCTGAGTAGCTTCTAGTGGGTGCAGGAGGCCCCATGGGGACACCCAGATGCCTCACAGGAAGCACTGTGGCTGCTTCAGACAAATGAACTGCAGGGATCCCAGGGGGTCCCCAGGGCACCCCCATTCGCTCTGCACATGGCCTTGGGTGCAGCTGAGCCCCCTTTGGACAGACAGACTAAGGCATAGACAGGGGCTGGGAGGCTGCTGGGGCCTCCCAGGAAGGCCTTCCGTGGGACCGACCCAGCCCTGGCCCTCCCCTTCCTGTCTCCTATGCCCAGGCCCCAAAGCCTAATTCTGGGGATTCCCCTCTCAATTCCTGTTTTCTCATCCCGCGATTTCTGGGGCCACTTCCTCTCTCTGTTTCTGTCCATGTCAGCCTCTGCACTTGCTTGGCCTAGGGGTGGGAGTGAGGGGACTAGGGAGGCAGGAGTGCCCTCAGCGGCTCCTGTGAACCCTGAGTGCCGACCATTCACCTTTCCTTATCCTCCCTGACCTGGATTCCTGACATCTCCTGGGCCCAGGGTGGCCTCTATGCTCCTGCTGGGCATATGCCTCCCCCCATGCGGTGGGCCTGGGTGAGGATGGGGGGCGGTTCAAGTCCCTCAGGGGACGGTGGATTCGAGGCTTCTCCCCTCAAGTGGCTCCCAGTGGTCTCCAGGGTGCGGCTGGGAGTGTGGACTTGGTGTCTCACTTGGGCGTTGGGCAGGTGGCCTCTGGGCTGACCGCGGGAGAGGCTGCAGGACCACCTTCTACCCTCTGCCCTGAGCGACCAGAGAGAGGTCCCGGAGCAGAATCCCCCTTCCTCCTGCCCCCACCCTCCCACCTGCTCTCACTGGGCCCCTCAGTTGAGCCACCTGTCAAATTAGGCGCCTGAGCGCTCTCATCTGTAAAGTGGGGACGAGGGCAGGAAGGGCCAAGTCGCTGGGATCTAAGCAACAAGTGGCCGCCGCCGTGCGCATCCCCCTGCCTCTGGTCCGGCCTCTCCCTCACCAACCCCGGCGGCCCAGCGCCACCACCACCCCACGGAGAGGCATCCCCCTGCCTCTGGTCCGGCCTCTCCTCACCAAGCATCCCCCTGCCTCTGGTCCGGCCTCTCCCTCACCAACCCCGGCGGCCCAGCGCCACCACCACCCCACGGAGAACAGTGCGGGCGCCTACGATGTCCAGAGGACAAAGAATCTCCACCGGCCGGGGTAGGGACGAGCGCGGAGTAGGAAGGAGCCCGGCCGCGGAGGGGAGGAGGGCGATGAAGTCACCGCGGGGCCGCCTCACCCAGTCCCGGGGGTGGGGGTGTCCCTCCCGCTCCGCACGGCCCCCGCCCGCTCGGCCCCGCCTCCGCCCCTCAGGTCGAGGCCCCGGACCGCCCTCCCCGCGCGCAGGAAAGCGGACCCCGCCGCGGCCCGGGAGTCCAGGAGTACCGAGCGGCCCGAGTCCCCGGGGCCCAGGGAGGGCGGGGGCGCCCGGGTCACACAGCGGGACCCACCTCCCCGGGCCCCGCCCGCTTCCCAAGGCCCCCAGCTCTGGACTCGCGGGGACAGCACCGCGGATGGCCTGGGCTCTGGCCCCGCCCCGCCGTCCAAAGTTTGGGGACCTCGGCCCAACTTCGCCGGGCGCCCGAGAGAAATCGGCCGAGGCGGCGCGGGGAGGCGGGTATCGGAGCACAGCGGCCGCCCCCGGACCCCACCCGCGCCCCGACGTCCTCCTCCAAAAGGAGAAGCGCAGTCTCAGCGGGGCGGCCGAGGGTCCCGCCGCACTCACCGACTCGGCCAGCAGGAGGCGGCCTTTGAGAGAGCAGAGGAAAGCGCGCGCCGGCAGTAGGGCGCGGAGCCCGGGGACAGCGGGGCCGGGACGGGAGCCGCCGGCGGGCTCGGGGTCCGGGTCGGGGTCGGGGTCTGGGGGCCACATGGCAGCGGCGGTGGCACGGCCGGGGCTCGGCCTGGAACCCCTCTTCTCACGCCCGGAGGGAAGCGGAAACCCGGGCTGTGCGGAAGGAGGGTAGGCGACACTGCCTAGCGCAGGGGCGCATCCCCCGCCGCCCCGCCCCGCCCCGCCCCCACCCGCTCCTCCGGCCCGCCCCTCCCCCTCGGACCCCAGCGGCGGGGGATGCTGGGTCCGACCCGCCCGCGCCTGGGCCTGGGGCCTCTGCAGACTCCGCCTTCTCCCTCATCCTGGTTCGGGCCGCTGGAGGCTTCCCGATCACCGCCGCGGCACCCGTTCGGAGCTCCCACCCGTCTGCCCCTATCCACAAGGGCTGTCTATACTCGCTGTCTCTGGTCTAACTTCCTGCCCGTGCGCGTGTCTGGAATCCGGGAACCCAGGCGTCTAAACAGCAAAGACCCCGGCCGTGATGTCAGCTCCGCACCCCATGTCCTCTCTCTTTCTTGGGGGCCGGAGTTTTCTTGCGACTTCCTTGGCCACCTCTCCAGTCCTCGGCCAGCCCCACCCTCCTCCAGGGCCTCTTTGTTGGCTGTTCCAGGCCTCGGTCCTGCACCCGCCTCCCCCAACCCATTCTTGGAGGACTCTCAGACCTGCAAGCGCAGCTCCAGGCACACACACAGACACACACACGCGCGCAAACACACACGCACACACACACACAGGCAGGCACATCTGCAGGACTTCCTGACCTGCAGTCCTCCAACCCCAACACATCTCTCTCTCTCTCTCTCTCACACACACACACACACACCCCCCACGCTCATGCGTGCACGTCTGGAGAGTGTCTGGAGTTCAGCGTGATCAAGACCCAGCTTCCTGTGCCTCTGTGAAGGGCACTGTCCCCTCCTTTCCTTCCACCCGACTAGCAGAGACCTGCAGGTTGTCCTTGTCCGTCTTCACTGGCAGTCTGTAACCAAGGTCCTCCCACTTTCACCTCCTGTAGCTTCTCTGATCTCTGTCCACTTCTCACCACCACTAGATCCGAAACCATTCCTGCCCGCTACCTGCTGAACTGCTGTGATGGTGTCTTTAAGAGGCCCTTAGGTTTTCTCTCTCAGCAGCCGGGAAAGAGCTTATACCACAGTACTGCGCACCCTTGATATAATTAACTCCATCTTAGAAAGACTTCATTTTATATTTCATAGGGTGCTTTGCCAACAAGGACAAGATGTTTTGTTTAATAAAAAATAGAAGGTCAGGTGCTGTGGCTCATGCCTGTAATCCCAGCACGTTGGGAGGCTGAGGTGGGTGGATCACAAGGTCAGGAGTTCGAGACCAGCCTCGCCAATACAGTGAAACCCCATCTCTACTATAAATACAAAAATTAGCTGGGTGTGGTGGCACATGCCTGTAATCTCAGCTATTCGGGAGGCTGAGGCACAAGAATCGCTTGAACCCGGGAGGCACAGGTTGCAGTGAGCCGAAATCACACCACTGCATTCCAGCCTGGGCGACAGAACAAGACTCCATCTCAATCAATCAATCAATCAATCAATCAATCAAGACTGCATCCAATGAAGCACACTGTTCCACTATCATTTCTCACCAGAGCACTCTGTGAGTGCAAAACAGCAGCCCAGCAGCCTTAACTGACAACCATCCCACTGCCATACTTGATAAGTACTCTGCATCTGCCTCCCAAGGCTCTGCCCCTCAAAGACTGCAAGACCCTCAAGCCCAGACCAGGATTCTTTTTGTCTTCTTCCTTCCCCTGGGGCTGGTTCCTTAACCATTTCTCCTATCTCTTTTTCTCTTGATGCTAAATGCTACTTTGTTTGTTGTGGAATGTTTAATCTATAACATCTACTTGTGGATTAAGTATACTATTAGGTATGGTTTGCAATATTGACTGACTGACTTGTGTAGTGGCTTGAGCCCGTGTGCTAACTACTGAGTGAACAGGAAGTACTAAGGAAAATTGGCTCCTTGGGTCTGGGCATGGTGGCCCTTGCCTATAATTCCAGCATTTTGGGAGGCTGAAGCAGGCAGACCACCTGAGGTCAGGAGTTTGAGACCAGCTTGGCCAACATGGTGAAAACCCATCTCCACTAAAAATACAAAAATTAGCTCGGCATGGTAGCACAGGCCTGTAACCCCAGCTACTTGGGAGGGTGAGGCATGAGAATTGCCTGAACCCGAAGTCAGAGGTTGCAGTGAGCACTGCACTCCAGCTGCACTCCAGCCTGGGCAACAGAGTGAGATTCTGTATCAAAAAAAAAAAAAAAAAAAAAAAAAAAAAAGAAGCAGCAGCAGCAAATTGGCTCCTTGGGATATCGCGTGGCTTTTGTTTTTTTACTCTTGGGTATAGGGTGAATAAAAATCTGACATTGTAGAAAGACACAAACATGTGTGGACCTGGTTATCTATTTTTTCTTTCTTGAAACAGTCTCACTCTGTCACCCAGGCTACAGTGCAGTGGCATGATCTTGGCTCATTGCAATTGCAACCTCTGCCTCCCAGATTCAAGCGATTCTCCTGCCTCAGTCTCCCAAGTAGCTGGGATTACAGACCTGTGCCACCACAGCCAGTTAACTTTTGTATTTTTAGTAGAGACAGAGTTTCGCCACGTTGGTCAGGCTGGTCTTGAACTCCTGGCCTCCAGCAATCTTCCCGCCTTGGCCTCCCAAAAGTTTGGGATTACAGGCGTGAGCCACCACCTCTGGCCAGACCTGGTTATCTCTTGACCTTGTACCACTCATGACAATCACCAGTCATTGGTCACTTCTGATGGCAGCCATGGCTCCAGACAACCTGCTGCTGTCAACACTCAGCCACAGCAGGGAGGCATAGCCTGGGCTACACACTCCATGGAGCAGGCAGGAGCCCTGCCCTCCCAGGTGCAGCTGCAGCTACCCAAACCGCAGCTGCAGACTGGGGCCTCCTCCATGGGGCAGACAGGAGCCCCCAGCCCCCTCTTCCCACAGCTACAGCCACCCAGACCACAGCTGCAGGCTCAGGCATCCCTGTACTCTTAGGGGCCCAGGAAGGCCCTCACCTGCTCTCCCAGGCTCAGAAGTGCCTTCTGCTGCTGCCTGGCTTCTTCCTGCTTTGGACACCTGCTTTGATCTGGAAGCAAAGTCAGGGCAAGCCTGGGCTTCATGAATGGCAGCAAGAGGCAGATAGATTCCTGGTTGGAAGTGGGCGGGTCCAGTGAGGCCCCACCTTCAGGCCAGGCGCCTGAAGGCTGGGGGCCAGGTTACCAGTCCGACCAACCAGAGTGGGAACTTGTACTGCCTTTTCTGGCCCACCCATGGCTGCCCGTAGATCAACTGGGCTCACACTTCCTCCACTCTGAGGCCCATAAAAGCCCCAGGCTCAGCCAAAGCTGAGCAGAGATTGGGAGGACCAGCTACAGAGAGGAGCCACACTCTCTAGCGCCTCCTCTCTGCTGAGAGCTGAACACTCAATGGGATGACCTCCCTACAGAGAAGAGCTACCCACTGTGGGTCTCCTCTGAGCTTTCTAGCACTCAGTAAACCTCCTTGTTGACTTGTTCTCCCTCCACTTGTCTGTGTACCTCATTCTTCCTGGTGGCAAGACAAGAACTCAGGCAAAGGTGCCACACTGGCCACAGAGGTTTCCAACCACAAAATTAACACCCCAGAGATCCCGTAACACTTCCATTTCCTCCCCACAAAGATACACACACACACACACACACATGCACACACACACACACAAAACCTTGGGAGCTTCCCATCCTGTACAGGGTCTTGGTATAGAAGGAAAACATAACCCCTTGCTGTTCTTCCCTCCCCTACCTCTCCCATGGACCTCTTACAGTTCCTGAAACAAACCATGCCACAGAGCCATTGTCCATGCTGACCCCTCTACCCAAAATGCTTCTCCACCTTCTTCTCTAATTAACTCCTCCTTATTCTTCAGTGACTGTAATGCAGTACTGCTTTCTCGGAGAAGCCTTTCTTGACATTCATTTATTCATCCAACAGCCTAGGGTACAGCAAGGCCCCAGCTTTTTCTGCTACTACTGGTGGTGGTGGTGAAATAAACACTAAACATATCCAGAGAATCCTGATTAAGGTGTTCCTGGTAATAGATAACCGATGTCTGGCTGGTTGGGAGGACAGCCAGGCAGGGAGCGTCAAAGAAAGGACTGAGCCAAGGTGTGTGGCGGGAGGGGGAAGATGGGGGGAGCTGGTCAGAGAAGGGGCAGGGCTAGACTGTGAAGGACCAGAACCTGGTGTTTGGATTTTACTGACAATTCCCTAGGAGGAGGCCAGGTGAGGGTTCTAACAGAGAGAAATCTGGTTCCCATTGGTGTTATTAAAAACATGGCCCTGGGCCGGGCGCAGTGGTTCACACCTGTAATCCCAGCACTTCGGGAGGCCGAGGCAGGTTGATCTGAGGTCAGGAGTTGGAGACCAGCCTGGCCAACATGGTGAAACCCTATCTTTACTAAAAAAACAAAAAATTAGCCAGGTGTGGTGGCGTGCCCCCTGTAGTTCTAGCTACTCAGGAGGCTAAGGCAGGAGAATTGCTTGAACCTGGGAGGCTGAGGTTGCAGTGAGCTGAGATCGTGCCACTGCACTCCAGCCTGGGTGACAGAGGGAGACTCTGTCTCAAACACACACACACAAACACACACACACAGTGATGGCTCTGAACTGCAACTCATTCTTAAGAAGAAGCAACCCAATTTTTTTAATGGGCCAAAGATTTGAAGAGACGATTCACTAAAAGAGATATATGAATGTCCAATAAGCACGTTAAAAGGTGCTCAACATCATGAGACATCTAGGAATGCAAATTAAAACCACAATGAGATACTACTGCACGTCTACTGACATAGCTTCTAAAGGAGGCACTACCAGCTGCTGGTGAGGATGTGGGGAGTTGGGACACTTGTGCCTGTGCAGTCCTGGTTCGGCTCTTTCTGGCTTCTTTTTGTTTCCTAATCTTGTTTTTTTTTATTTTTTTATTTTTTTTATTTTTTGAGACAGAGTCTCACTCTGTCGCCCAGGCTGGAGTGCAGTGGCGTGATCTCAGCTCACTGCAAGCTCTACCTTCCGGGTTCACGCCATTCTCCTGCCTCAGCCTCCCAAGTAACTGGGACTACAGGTGAAGTAGTCCATCAACAGGTGAAGT